CACAGCTGCGCTCCATGAATCCACGGCTCAGCCGTGGAACCGTGGAGCCTAGCCGTGGCCGTACGGTTCCACGGCTGAGCCGTGGAACCGTGGAGCCCAGCCGTGGCCGCACGGTTCCACGGCCGCACGGTTCCACGGCTGAACCGTGGAACCGTGAGCCGTGGAACCGTGGAAACCGTGAACCGTACGGTTTCCACGGTTCCACGGCTCACGGCTGGAGAGTGCCCGTCGCCGCCCTTCTCGAAATATCATGAAATATCATGTATTGTTATGTATTGAATTTACTACTTTACTGTTATGTTCTGCATCTTCACCTCCAAGAAGTTTTAAACGTGAACATGTTAGTCAAACTTGTTGTGATCATTGATCTCCGACCTCCAAGATTGTGTGTGTTCGTCCAGTGCCAGCCAACCTGCGGTTGGTCAGTCGGCCACGACAGCCACGACAGCCACGACAGCCACGACAGCCACGACAGCCACGGCACTTCAAGGATCAGTCGGTTGGGTGTCAACTGCACAGTCGATTTATGTCGATTTGGTGTACCTTGGATCATGATTGGCCATATCAAAGCCAGGTACAAGTAGACGATAGTGCTCACCTTCAGGTAATGGCAGGCCTCCCGCACAGTCGATTTGCACTTGCCACGTTTCATCACCTTAACCTCCTGTTTCCCATGTCACCTTGCACCCTTTTTAAGTTCTATGATTCTATGACCTGCCACATCATTTACCCAACCACGCCTGCATGAATTAGCAAGTCTCGTGAAAAATCGACGCATCGGCTCCAAAGAACCTGCTAGTTGACTCAGAGATCCCGCTGAGCCATTGCAACAGCTGCTGATAGTGTCTCTACGTATCTTGTGGTCACTTGGATGTGGGTCAAAATGGAAGACCTAGGGGACCACAGATGTTAGTCTAGTTTAGTATTAACCATCCATAATTTTGGGGTACCTAATTTTGACCCATACTCACTTCTTGTTCTCAATCACAAGATGATTTTTGAATGTCCATCCAACATCAGCTTCATGATTTTTCAGAAGACTTTTCAAACAGGCAGTAACACCCACGCCAAGGCACTGACTTTGCCCAGAAATAGGCATCAAAGTCGATTCCATTCTCCTGGAACTGGGTCATGAAGAGAGATGAAACAACTTTGAGGGAGCTTACTTTGAAGCACAAAAGAAACAAACATCAACGGTCAACGCCAAAGGAAAGGTTTACCTCAACCATAGCAAGAAATTACACGAGTTTACCTACGACAAGATGCAAAATGTCCTGCAACATTCCTAGGAAGCCGCACGCTTCCGCTGCCCGCATCAGAGCAGAGAAATCTCCCTTCACCTGACGAAGGTGCCAGGCAATGCTCAAATCGGTTTGAAGTTTCATTGTAATTTGTTTTCCCGTTCCTGTGCAAAGAATTTGTCTTAAATCGGTTTGATGTTTCATTGTATTGTTTCTTCCCTTTCCTGTGCGAAGGATTTGTCTAAAAAATCGGTTTGAAGTTTCATTGTAATTTGTTTTCCCGTTCCTGTGCAAAGAATTTGTCTTAAATCGGTTTGAAGTTTCATTGTATTGTTTCTTCCCTTTCCTGTGCGAAGGATTTGTCTAAAAAATCGGTTTGAAGTTTCATTGTAATCTGTTTTCCCGTTCCTGTGCAAAGAATTTGTCTTAAATCGGTTTGAAGTTTCATTGTATTGTTTTTTCCCTTTCCTGTGCGAAGGATTTGTCTAAAAAATCGGTTTGAAGTTTCATTGTAATTTGTTTTCCCGTTCCTGTGCAAAGAATTTGTCTAAAATCGGTTTGAAGTTTCATTGTATTGTTTCTTCCCTTTCCTGTGCGAAGGATTTGTCTAAAAAATCGGTTTGAAGTTTCATTGTAATTTGTTTTCCCTTTCCTGTGCGAAGGATTTGTCTAAAATTGGTTTGAAGTTTCATTGTATTTGTTCCCTTTCCTGTGCGAAGGATTTGTCTTAAATCGGATTGAAGTTTCATTGTAATTGTTTTTCCCGTTCCTGTGCGAAGGATTTGTCTTAAATCGGTTTGAAGTTTCATGTAATTTGTTTTCCCGTTCCTGTGCAAAGAATTTGTCTTAAATCGGTTTGAAGTTTCATTGTATTGTTTCTTCCCTTTCCTGTGCGAAGGATTTGTCTAAAAAATCGGTTTGAAGTTTCATTGTAATTTGTTTTCCCGTTCCTGTGCAAAGAATTTGTCTTAAATCGGTTTGAAGTTTCATTGTATTTGTTCCCTTTCCTGTGGCAAGGATTTGTCTAAAAAATCGGTTTGAAGTTTCATTGTAATTTGTTTTCCCGTTCCTGTGCAAAGGATTTGTCTTAAATCGGTTTGAAGTTTCATTGTATTGTTTCTTCCCTTTCCTGTGCGAAGGATTTGTCTAAAAAATCGGTTTGAAGTTTCATTGTAATTTGTTTTCCCGTTCCTGTGCAAAGAATTTGTCTTAAATCGGTTTGATGTTTCATTGTATTGTTTCTTCCCTTTCCTGTGCGAAGGATTTGTCTAAAAAATCGGTTTGAAGTTTCATTGTAATTTGTTTTCCCGTTCCTGTGCAAAGAATTTGTCTAAAATCGGTTTGAAGTTTCATTGTATTGTTTCTTCCCTTTCCTGTGCGAAGGATTTGTCTAAAAAATCGGTTTGAAGTTTCATTGTAATTTGTTTTCCCGTTCCTGTGCAAAGAATTTGTCTTAAATCGGTTTGAAGTTTCATTGTATTGTTTCTTCCCTTTCCTGTGCGAAGGATTTGTCTAAAAAATCGGTTTGAAGTTTCATTGTAATTTGTTTTCCCGTTCCTGTGCAAAGAATTTGTCTTAAATCGGTTTGATGTTTCATTGTATTGTTTCTTCCCTTTCCTGTGCGAAGGATTTGTCTAAAAAATCGGTTTGAAGTTTCATTGTAATTTGTTTTCCCGTTCCTGTGCAAAGAATTTGTCTTAAATCGGTTTGAAGTTTCATTGTATTGTTTCTTCCCTTTCCTGTGCGAAGGATTTGTCTAAAAAATCGGTTTGAAGTTTCATTGTAATTTGTTTTCCCGTTCCTGTGCAAAGAATTTGTCTTAAATCGGTTTGAAGTTTCATTGTATTGTTTCTTCCCTTTCCTGTGCGAAGGATTTGTCTAAAAAATCGGTTTGAAGTTTCATTGTAATTTGTTTTCCCGTTCCTGTGCAAAGAATTTGTCTTAAATCGGTTTGAAGTTTCATTGTATTGTTTCTTCCCGTTCCTGTGCAAAGAATTTGTCTAAAATCGGTTTGAAGTTTCATTGTATTGTTTCTTCCCTTTCCTGTGCGAAGGATTTGTCTAAAAAATCGGTTTGAAGTTTCATTGTAATTTGTTTTCCCTTTCCTGTGCGAAGGATTTGTCTAAAATTGGTTTGAAGTTTCATTGTATTTGTTCCCTTTCCTGTGCGAAGGATTTGTCTTAAATCGGATTGAAGTTTCATTGTAATTGTTTTTCCCGTTCCTGTGCGAAGGATTTTAAATCGGATTGAAGTTTCATTGTAATTGTTTTTCCCGTTCTTGTGCAAAGAATTTGTCTTAAATCGGTTTGAAGTTTCATGTAATTGTGTTTCCCTTTCCTGGGCGAAGGATTTGTCTTAAATCGGTTTGAAGTTTCATTGTATTGTTTCTTCCCTTTCCTGTGCGAAGGATTTGTCTAAAAAATCGGTTTGAAGTTTCATTGTAATTTGTTTTCCCGTTCTTGTGCAAAGAATTTGTCTAAAATCGGTTTGAAGTTTCATTGTATTGTTTCTTCCCTTTCCTGTGCGAAGGATTTGTCTTAAATCGGTTTGAAGTTTCATTGTAATTTGTTTTCCCGTTCCTGTGCAAAGAATTTGTCTTAAATCGGTTTGAAGTTTTCATGTATTGGTTTTCTCTTGTTTCTTCCCTTTCCTGTGCGAAGGATTTGTCTAAAAAATCGGTTTGAAGTTTCATTGTAATTTGTTTTTCCTTTCCTGTGCGAAGGATTTGTCTAAAAAATCGGTTTGAAGTTTCATTGTATTGTTTCTTCCCTTTCCTGTGCAAAGAATTTGTCTTAAATCGGTTTGAAGTTTCATTGTAATTGTTTTTCCCTTTCCTGTGCGAAGGATTTGTCTAAAAAATCGGTTTGAAGTTTCATTGTAATTGTTTTTCCCGTTCCTGTGCAAAGAATTTGTCTTAAATCGGTTTGAAGTTTCATTGTATTGTTTTTTCCCTTTCCTGTGCGAAGGATTTGTCTAAAAAATCGGTTTGAAGTTTCATTGTATTGTTTCTTCCCTTTCCTGTGCGAAGGATTTGTCTAAAAAATCGGTTTGAAGTTTCATTGTAATTTGTTTTCCCTTTCCTGTGCGAAGGATTTGTCTAAAATTGGTTTGAAGTTTCATTGTATTTGTTCCCTTTCCTGTGCGAAGGATTTGTCTTAAATCGGATTGAAGTTTCATTGTAATTGTTTTTCCCGTTCCTGTGCGAAGGATTTGTCTTAAATCGGTTTGAAGTTTCATGTAATTTGTTTTCCCGTTCCTGTGCAAAGAATTTGTCTTAAATCGGTTTGAAGTTTCATTGTATTGTTTCTTCCCTTTCCTGTGCGAAGGATTTGTCTGAAAAATCGGTTTGAAGTTTCATTGTAATTTGTTTTCCCTTTCCTGTGCGAAGGATTTGTCTAAAATTGGTTTGAAGTTTCATTGTATTGTTTCTTCCCTTTCCTGTGCGAAGGATTTGTCTTAAATCGGATTGAAGTTTCATTGTAATTGTTTTTCCCGTTCCTGTGCGAAGGATTTGCCTTAAATTGGTTTGAAGTTTCATTGTACTGTTTTGTCCCCTTTCCTGTGCGAAGGATTTGCCTTAAATCGGTGTGAAGTTTCATTGTATTGTTTCTCTTTCCTGTGCGAAGGATTTGTCTTAAATCGGTTTGAAGTTTCATTGTAATTCGTTTTCCCTTTCCTGTGCGAAGGATTTGTCTAAAATCGGTTTGAAGTTTCATTGTTTTGTTTTCTCATTTCCTCTGCGAAGGATTTGTCTTAAATCTGTTTGAAGTTTCACTGTATTGTTTCCCTTTCCTGTGCGAAGGATTTGTCTTAACACTGTATGAACTTTCTTTGTCAATCTTTGTCCTTTTTCCTGTGCGAGGGATTTGTCTTAAAACCGTTTGAAATTTCATTGTCATTTTTCTAGCATTTTCTGTGCGAAGGATTCGTCTTCAAACGGTTTCAAGTTTCACTGTCAATATTTTTCCCATTTACTGTGCGAAGAACTTGTCTTAAAACGGTATAAAGCTTTGCTGCCAGTCTTTTGTTAGCCTTCTACCTTTTTTCTATGGGTAGAATTTATCTCAACACCGTTTCAAGTTGCGTTGCCAGTCTTTTGGCAGCCTTCTGCTTTGTTTTTGTGTGCAAAGGATTTGTTGTCATTTTTCTTTTTATTTTTCTGTGCGAAGAATGTCTTAAAACGGTTTGAAGTTTGAATGCCAGTCGTTTGTCACCTTTTTTTTCATGTGGGGAGGGATTTGTCTTAAACCAGTTTGAAGTTTGAAGTTTAGTTTTTTGTTTTTTTCTGTATAAAGGATTCGTATCTGAATTTGATGTTTTGTTTCCTGCGTCTCAATGAAGTTGTTTGGCTGAAAGTGTGAAGGTCCTTGACAGGTTGGTGCTATGTGTTCGATAGAAGCTTTTCTTTGAAAGGGTCTGAAATTGCCAATCTGTTTCCCATTTTCTGATCAAAGAATTTGGCTGAAACAGTCTGAAGTTTCATTGCCACTCTTTTGCCTTTGCCGATCAAAAGTGTCAATGTCAATCGCTTGCCCTTAGTCTCTTTTCTGTCGGAAAAAAAAGCTATCAAAACGGTCTGTAAACATTGTGTCTTTGACTCCTTGGAGTATGTACCTCATGTTTCACAAGGATTGTGATTAATGTTGTTTTCACGAAGCTTGGAGAAATCGTTCCATCAATTCATGGACAAAAATGGTGGACATTTGTCACTTTCAGAGTGGGTCAAACTTGGACAGCCCGAAGATTGGATGATTTATACTGGCAATCACCAACACTTGTTGGTTCCCCCTGAATTGTAAATTGCAACTAGTTTACCATACCCATGGATCTGATTTGTAGTTTTCTGAATCTTAAAAATTGACCCATCCAAACTCCTGACTTATCTTTAAAAAAAAAAACGTCATCAGCAAGCCAGAAACAGCCCAAGACACTTTTCACCCATGCCCATCGTCCAGCGTGGATCCCACGGACCGCTACGTCCAAATTGGCCCAAAAACATTGGGAAGCAAAACCAAAAAGAAACTCTATGAGCTCCATGATCTTTAGGACATGGTGAAACATCATTTTGGATGAAAACCCAGGTTGCGCTGTTCAGAAAACGAAAACAAAATCTGTGCCAGAAATGAAAACCTGCTGCACCTCAAGATCCTTGATGCCCTTAGTAGATCGGCAAAGGATCCAATGAACGTATAAAATCATATAAAATATGATGATCCAAATTGCATAGTTGCACCAATTCATGCCATGTTTATGATCCCTTTTTTTCAGAAAAAAGCACCTTTTTATCCAAGGTTGTAGCCACCATCCCAGAGACGCATCGCCTGCGCTTTTAGTCGTCTGGCCGTGTTTTGCAGATCGGCTTCTCCCAACTCAAGCAACTCTGCCTGAAACATAACAAAACGGGCACCTGGAGATAATACCAATCAATACTAGAAATTCATCAAATGAATACTACATCCAATACAAAAGTACATACATTATGTACATGTAGATAGATACACATATACAATCATGTGTAATTCATATATCATATATATATACACATATTATATATATACATATCTTTATAGCAATACGTATTGTAATGCTTTGAACACTACTAGCTGCTACATCTCCCATCATCGCCTCTGACCAATGCGGAAGCATATCAAAGCTCCTTGGAAGGGACTTGAGGTGCTCAGCATTCCAACCTCAGCAGTGCGAACCGAAGGGCTTGGTTTGGGGGAAAAAAAACATGAAAAGTCGTTCTTGCTGGGGGAGTGTATATAATATAATATAATATAATATAAGATAATATAAGATAACATAAGATAATATAATATAATATAATACAATATATATATATATTATATTGTTATATATAATCAAATTAATATAGGCTATACCGCGTTAAGAGTCCGTGATTGAGGGGTTTCAAAGAACTCCATTTTTCCAGACACACACTTAAAAAAAAACAAAAAAAATTGGCGTCCCACCTGCATCCATCTTGGAGCGCTCCAAGAGGAGATGCAGTGCCATGACATCTTCATCCCCAGATGCCAAGTGATGTTTTTGCAACGAGCTCAGTTCCTGGATCCGATCCATTGGGATCCTCATCTGATTCCCACTGGATTTCCCATGAAACGTGGGAAAGTCATCAGCAAATCCAGGGAAAACCCGAAATGGGATTCTCCAAATTCGTCACGGATTTCAGTTCACGCAAAAAAACATGTTACGGGTAAAAGGAAGAAAAATCTGGCGAGACATCATAATATGACGGTATCTATTCATATCCAGACGAACCACAGTTGTCATGAGCAAAGTTGTGTTTCTCCAAGTAGTATTACGAATATGAACATGATATGTAATTGTACAAAACCTGTGCGTCACAATTACCAAAGCAGCATTCCAAGAGTTTGGATTTCAAAAAGTTCACAGTTTCCTTGCAATTTCTAAATGGTCTAAAAGAGACAATGAACGTGATTCTGATAGTGATACCCTCTGGTAAACTAACATAGCTACGGAAAATCACCATTTACAATAGGAACATCAACTATAAATGGCCATGTTCAATAGCTATGTCAGTCATTACCAGAGGGCAATCCTTTTTTTTTCGCCATCAGTTTCCCACAAGTTGATGTAGAGCTCCAGCGCCAAAAAATCACCGAGGGACCGTCCTTGTAGGCCTCTCGTGCTTTGGCAGCAGACCAACACTTTGCGAAAGGAACCTGCCACCGGGGTCTCCCGGAATCCCACGAATCACTGGAATCACTGCTGCCAGCTGATATGGAAGCACAGCCACCAAACCAACGAGGCTTTGAACTGGGAACACACTGGGAACACAGGGACCTTCAGGTAAATCTGTCCCTTGTTGATACGGCTGGTGGCTCGAAAGCCGCGGCCTCGAACACACGATGTTGGGATGAGGACCCATGAGGACCCTGAGAAGTGGATGATGACTGAGTATCTACAAACAGTGGAGTAGTGTGAAGCATCTACGAGTCAGTTGCATGTATAATATCCCATGGAATCCCAATGTAGCAAAAATGTGAGCATTTTTGAAACATCCCAGCAGAGTGCAAGCAAGCAAAGGCATCAGTGTCTGCTCTGATTCGACCTGTGGGAAAATCCCATACGACCACCAGCGCATCTGGCCCTAGTTCCATGGCCCGACTTGTTGTTCCGTAGAATTTTCTCACGTCGGATGAACGCATTGTGCTCAGTCTATCCGAATCTATCTTGAAAAAACACAAACCCTGCTCTGTTTCAATTCTTCCACATTCAAACAAAACCACACAACTCGTTGATGCCCGTTGCTATGCCCAAGACCTGTTTGCACTGCTCTGTTTCATAATGTGTCGGGATGTGATGTGCTTTGCAATTGTCTTCTGGATATTTGTCATTCCTAGTTGTCATTCCCAGTTTGGACATTGAATGATTTAATACAGCAGCACATCTGCCCTGTCCGCAACAAGGGGTTACATCCCACCGTTCTGGGAAGATCATCGGGCTGCGTTTGGACATCCGCAACTGCAATTCTGATATTTCCATGCAAGCAGTGTTAACCCCTGAACCTTCTGATTCTGTTTGATTAAGAAACAAAAATATTGAAAACAAAAAAATGAAACAAATATCATGATACACCACGGAAGAAGCAAATACCATGATACCCCAAAAACTAAATATCCTGAATTTGGGTATTATAAACAAGCAATGCAACATCTGGCATTCATTGTGATAAATTTCGAAGTGGTCATCACAGAAAACCACTGCACACCCATGCGACTCAGCCATGCTCAATCATGATTGCCAATCATTTCACAGTTCAGATCTAAGTGGGTCAAATAGAATCAATGCCAAATTTGGCATTCATTGTGGTAAATTTCGAAGTGGTCATCACAGAAAACCACTGCACACCCATGCGACTCAGCCATGCTCAATCATGATTGCCAATCATTTCACAGTTCAGATCTAAGTGGGTCAAATAGAATCAATGCCAAATTTGGTATTCATTGTGGTAAATTTCGAAGTGGTCATCACAGAAAACCACTGCACACCCATGCAACTCAGCCATGCTCAATCATGATTGCCAATCATTTCACAGTTCAGATCTAAGTGGGTTAAATAGAATCAATGCCAAATTTGGCATTCATTGTGGTAAATTTCGAAGTGGTCATCACAGACAACCACTGCACAACCAAGCAACCCATGTTCAATCATGATTGCCAATCATTTCACAGTTCAGATCTAAGTGGGTCAAATAGAATCAATGCCAAATTTGGCATTCATTGTGGTAAATTTCGAAGTGGTCATCACAGAAAACCACTGCAAAACCATGCAACGCACCCATGCTGAATCATGATTGCCACTCATTTCACAGTTCAGATCTAAGTGGGTCAAATAGAATCAATGCCAAATTTTGGCATTCATTGTGGTAAATTTCGAAGTGGTCATCACAGAAAGCCAATGCACACCCATGCGACGCACCCATGCTCAATCATGATTGCCAATCATTTCACAGTTCAGATCTAAGTGGGTCAAATAGAATCAATGCCAAATTTGGCATTCATTGTGGTAAATTTCGAAGTGGTCATCACAGAAAACCACTGCACACCCATGCAACTCAGCCATGCTCAATCATGATTGCCAATCATTTCACAGTTCAGATCTAAGTGGGTCAAATAGAATCAATGCCAAATGTGGCATTCATTGTGGTAAATTTCGAAGTGGTCATCACAGAAAACCACTGCACACCCATGCGACTCAGCCATGCTCAATCATGATTGCCAATCATTTCACAGTTCAGATCTAAGTGGGTCAAATAGAATCAATGCCAAATTTGGCATTCATTGTGGTAAATTTCGAAGTGGTCATCACAGACAACCACTGCACACCCATGCGACTCAGCCATGCTCAATCATGATTGCCAATCATTTCACAGTTCAGATCTAAGTGGGTCAAATAGAATCAATGCCAAATTTGGCATTCATTGTGGTAAATGTTGAAGGAATCATTTTAACGGTTTACCAAAGTATTTTGCCAGTGTTAAAAACATTACGACAAAAATTTTGAACACACAATTGTGTCAAACATCCACAAAATGGCGTTCACGAACACAACAGGTTCTGTTTACGACTCATCACCTTGTCAAACGAAATTTACATCGTTTGTTTCCGTTTTACGGATTTTCAAAAGTGAAAAAAATCAATGACCCCCATAGTCACAATCACCACCATCACCACATCACCACACCACCACATCACCTCATCATCTCATCACCTCATCACCTCACCACCTCATCCCCACACTCCTCGTCACCACATCACCTCATCACTTCATCACCACACCCCTGGTCACCACATCACCTCATCACTTCACCATCGTATCACCACATCCCTCGTCACCACATCACCTCATCACCTCATCACCGCATCACCTCATCACACGATGGCCATCAACACATCAACACATCACCACATCACAAGAGAGTAGAAAGTTTGTATCTTCCAAAGGTGAAGAAAGTCAATGACCACAACCACCACCATCATATCACCAAATCACCACATCACCTCATCATGTCATCACCACATCCCTCATCACCACATCACCTCATCACCGCGTCATCACCATGTCATCACTTCATCACCAAATCACTTCATCACCTCATCACACCATCACCTCATCACCTTCTCACCACATCACCACATCACAAGGCAGCAGAAAATCAAGAGAGTACGAAGAGAGTAGATGTGAAGAGAGTAGACAGTCAACAGTGCCATTTGCAAGGCCGGAGTTGGAGATCGCAGTCGAATTGTTTCGTGAAAGTGACGCTTTAGGACGGGTAGTTCACGCAATGGTTTCCGTTGTTTCAGTTTCCCCAAATCTATTAAACCTACAGTTGACATCCAACATGAAAAAGGCTGCCGCAAGAGTGCATCATTTTTTAAAAGGCGTGGTGCAATGTTTAGGTCAGCCCTGTATTCAGAAATCCAGACAAATAATTCTTCGTGACCTTCAATCTTTGGTCCTGTTTTGGTTGACGTCAGCATGGCATTACCTATAGACCGTTGCTCATACCATTTTACAAAGCCTTGCATCGTATCCCAACAACTATGGTTGGCATGGACGATGTCACCTTTCAATCTCTGGTCCAACAGTTGGATGATCAGTTGCAGCTTACTGCCTCCCTGACTCACAAGCATCAATCCCTGCGGCCGGGCAGGACATGGTACGTATTGCTAACCCCAATGTTCAAACCTTGGACAAGGTGCGGTCGTTACACAACAAATCCAGACGGATGTGGGTGGGTATCCTTGACCCTTCTGCATCACCAAATCGCAAGATGGATGAAGAAGGGTTCAGATGCTCTGCTACAAGGGAGGCCCTAACTGCGTCTCCAAAAAGTATGCCACCTCTCAAGAATGGGACGTTCTAGTTCTAGAGTCAGTCCATCCATAGGCTTCAGGTCCTCAGGTTACATCCTGTAGGGAGCAACATGGTCAGCTCCTTCCATTTTTGTTCAGCTACTTTACTTCGACCTGTCCCGGGAGACCGAAAGGATCCGAAAGGTGGATGGAGTCCTTCACTGGAAAATACTCACATGGCAAAGCTTATCTTCTCATGTTTTCATTGCATTATCGAAGGAAGTTTAGAAGTCAAACTTCCGACAATATGGACAGATAAAAAGCAGAGTAGGGCAGAGGCATAGAGAAGAGAAAGATTAGAAGAGAGAAGAGTAGAAGAGAAAGAGTCAGAAGAAAGAAAATACAGATGCGCGAAAAGGTAAGAAAGTCGCGATTCACTGTGTTTTTCCAATGATCTGTGGCTCCGGAGGTCGAAAAGTAGGCTCGCTAAAGCGGCGGGCGCGGAGCCAGCTGGCCAGGTGAGAGATGAAAAATTGCACGCCGTTGTGGCGCGAAGCACATTTCCAAGTCAAATTGTAAAAAAAACACCATTCTCGGACCACTTTTGGAAGTTGAGATGTCAAAAAAGTGCACGCCGTTGTGGCGCGAAGCACATTTCCAAGTGAAAATGTACAAAACTCACCATGGTCGGACCACTTTTGGACGTTGCGATGTCGAAAAAGTGCACGCCGTTGTGGCGCGAAGCACATTTTCAAGTCAAAATGTACAAAACATAATGGTCTAAATCACAAACTTGATATGACTCACTGGCTCTGGAAATGGGGGATTGATGGGGATTGACCCTAGATTTATGGCCAGGGAGAATGATTCACCATCTTGGGCAATTACAGCTTGTATTCTGTTGACAAACCCACAT